TAATGAGTCATTACCGAAACCCGTGAATATGGTGATAATTGATAAGGATCAATCCTATAAAACGAATAAGAAAAAAATTAGTAACAAGTGTGAAAAAACATTTGTTTTTAACTTAATAGTGGGATTTGAAAATTATTGTAAGCAGGGTGCATGAGCCTGTCATTTGATTTATCGTCCAACGAGAATCTTCGCTTAGCTTGGAGTACATGTATACCAAGCATGCGGTCCCCCAGTTCCACTCGTGAATAACCTCCAAGTCGATGAAATATTTGAGGTAAGCCACATCCACGTAGATTGCACTTTTGTCCACAAACATGGACGTGTCAACCAATAACATGAGAAGAACCTCAAGGCACACTCCATGTGGTAGCCAACCCAAAGATCATCGACGTCTGGGTCTTCGGCTATCTCTAACGTTTCGATATGTCATGTTTAGGAAAATGCAGCATGCATGCCATGGTTGATGGTGTTGTACTCGGAAGCAAAAATACATGCAAGACTGGAGTTCTCGAGTGCAATTTGAAACCACTCATCCTGAGGTTGAAAAAGATTGTGAATATTTCTTGTATATAAAAATATAAAAAATAGAATCATTAAAAAATATACCTCTTCGTCCTAGATATGTGGAGCCACATAATCTCCAAAGTATATAAGTAATGAAGTGTATGTGGGCCCTCTTAGAAAAGGATCTTCAAGTGGAGCCTCCTCAGCAACTAGAACCTATTATACAACTAAGGCATCCTCATCATGGTGCACACGACTCCCAGATCTTGACCCTTGTTATAATCGACTCCTAGAGTTCGACACATCCCTATCGTGAAGCATAGGGACGATTCTAGCCTGCTCGTGCAAAAGAACCCTCTCGCGACAAACAAACACGGTTAGTGTTTCACGGTCGTGTTTCATCTTGTCGACGCGATTAGGGTTTCCAGCCATTTTCCTTGAAAAAAACATAAGAAAAGAGGTTAGTACATATGGAAGGAAAGAGTTCGAATATGTAACTCCAAACACCTAAAATAGCACACTTCGGAGATACATCTCCGAAAGAACTTAGTTTTTCAGCTTCCATGGCAAAAACATTTATGCCATTGCCCTAATCATCCAAGGATCATCCAAATTAACCCAAATCATATAATTAGAGTCTACACATAATCTATTTCAAATTCCAATGTCATCTAATGCATTGAATCTAATCTATTTGAACTAAAACACTAATCGGAACTCAAAATAAGCCAAATAAAAAACTTACTCAAAAATATGTTGATAAGGGTGTGAAGTGATCTTATGTTAAATCCAGCAGTTAGATGGAGTTGGGAATGGCAAGATACAACTAAATGTTGTTTCAAAACTTGACCTTGAGTGAGAACTGGAAATGGGTAGAGGGAGGTAGAGAGAAAAAAAAATCTTCTGTAAAACGAAGAAGGAGAATAGGGAGAGTTTGGCGTGAGTTTTAAATACTTTCACCTAGTTTGGAGATGCATCTTCGAAATATTTTTTTGAATTTGGAAAAAAATATTAATCCGAAAATATATCTTCGAACAACCCTATAATATTCTTCGCAGCCGAATTAACTGTGAATAAAATGAAGAGCTAGTGTGTTTGGAGATATATCTCTAAAAACATAAGATATTTTAAAATTTTCGTACCAGACTCAGACAATGAAAAATTGTCTAAATTTGTTGCTCATTCAAGTGCTGAAACAAAATTTAAAACGAAAGCCTTAAAAATTTAATACTGTATGGATGAAACTTGAGCTAGAATATTTAAAGATAAAGTGTGAAGGTAATACAAAATTATTTTATGTTAATAATTGGTCATCAACATTAATCATGACTTTTTCAGCACAAAAGATAAAGGATATTGAGATTGACAAACATTTTATAATAAAAAACGTTGAATGGGAAATAGAAAAGTATAGGAGGAATTAACATGCCCCTCTTATATTATGGCACTCCTCCAAATTATGTGAAAAGGTCAAATTATACCGACTCAAATATTTTTTAGAAATTCAAAATTTTTGTGATCAATCCTCTCAAATTGTGATATCATAAATTTCAAGGCAATACTCGAAATTTAGTGAGACAGTAAGAAATTTTAGATATATTTGTGAAATATCTGGTATTTTGTACTGGAATTTTCATAAATTCTGAAATTTTCGTACCGAAATTTTTGAAATTTCCGGTGTAAGCATTTTTCTTCTGTACCAGAAATTTCAAAATTCACGGGACTATACAGGATACCGAAAATTTAATTAATTTCCGATAGTTCAATTTTGAAATTTGAAAGTTTAAATTGTTACGTAAATTTGTCCGATTTACCGAAAATTTCAAATACACTACCAAAAATTTACTCTTACCAAAAATTTGGTAGGGATGTACCAGAAATTTGTTCTGTACTAGAAATTTCATCTCTTCTACCAAAATTTGTCTGTATCTCATCAAAGATAAAATTAGAATAAATAAAATTGGGAGGTGGCATGTTTAATTTAGGGGGTGACATGGTAATTTCTCTAGATATAGTCTATATTCTTTTGAAGCAAGAACTGCATCTGTTATGAATGGAACAAAAAATTTGAAAAGTACTAACACACTATGAGGTGCATTTCACAGCTCTAAAAATTTGAAAATGTCTTTTCTTTGTTCGAAGACGAATCTTCATACGCATTTAAAATCACACTAGTTTTCATACTTCAGCCAGCCATCCCTTTTTTATCAAAATTTACTTCGGAGATGTATCGAGAGAACTTTCTAAAAAGAATGGAAGAGTTCATCAAGTAGAACCACATTGAGAAAAAAAATCAAATAAGAAAAGGTCAAAGAAGGAACCGCCAATAAATTTAAGTAGTGACACATATTTTGATATATTTTAATTTTATCTAAAATATAACTCGTTTTTTTTTATATAATATGTCAATGATGTAATCTCGATACAATTTGAGACATACATAATGTATATTCTACTTTAATGTTGTAGAATTTGAGGATAATTTTTTAACAATTTTTCCGATTTATATTATGCACCGCATATTATACTAGTTTTGTATTAATAGTATTATAGATGTGTCTGGATATGCATCTTTGGACAACACCCTCCATTTTAATCATAAAAAACAAAACAAATTTTTTTTACAGATGTACATCACTGTAAACACTCTGTTTTTTTTTATTTTAAATAGAGTGGATCTGAATATGCATATATGAAATATATCCTGATAAAAGGATATAGTTTCTATGATTCAAATTGATCTAAAATTTGTTTAAATAGGGGTCTCTAGGGGTGTTCATGGGTGCAGGTGGATCCACAAACCCGCTGACCCAAATCAAACCAAACCATAAATCATCCGAACCCATTCATTTAGGAGTATAACCAATCCAACCCATAACAACCCGTACAGTTTTGGTTCGGGTATCGAATTTGAGTTTCACAACCAGCGGACCCGTTGACACAACTCATTGATGTGTCATTACTCATTAGTAATTTCTTTTTATTATTATTATTTAAATAAAAATATAAAATCAATATTTCAGTACTAACATAATTTTATCAAAAAAAAATTATTCTCTACCATTAATATTATTATCAATGAGGTTACTTAATTCTAAGACTAAATATTGTTTCTTATTTTCAGTTTATATTTTCAGTTTATGAAAATAACGTGTTTTATAGAATATTATAATATAATCAAGTGTTATGTCCTGTTAGATGAATTTTATTAAATATTATATGATGTGTTTCCTCTAATTTGAGTTAGAAAATAGTATAATTGTGTTAAATTATGTTATAATTTCTAGAATTGAAAAAAATCATTAAAAAATATTTTTTATTTGAAATACAACCCACGAACCTAACCCAATCCATAAATGAGCGGGTCAGTTCTAATGGTTTTGACAATGAAATTATGAGTTAGACAACAAATTCAACCCATTAAAATTTGAACAGATTGGGTAACAGGTTAGGACAAACCCGATTCAACCCAACCCGTGTACACCCCTAGAAGTCTCTTATTCCATATTCTTTACAAAAACCAAAATGATTAAATATCTCCATTATGCATTTGTATATTTCAACGGCACAATATGCAGAAAATCGAAGAGTTATCATCCTCAGATATTGTTCATCCTCATTTAACAAAAAAAAAAAAGATATAGTACACCAAACTTGAAACAAAAACAGATGAAAATTTTAAAGTTATGTAAAATACATTTTACCATTACTTACCATTACTCAACAAAGAGGACAATTGAAATGGATGCGACAACTATAAAATTAACCAGTATTCAAAGGATGTTGCAATGTCTTGATTACCTGTTTGTAATGTAATGTTAATTTATGTGTTTTTCCAACATTTTGCCATTGTTTTTGATTTGATCTAACAGAATACATTTTCAAACTAATACATCTTCAAAAAACGCATAAAATATCATTAATGGTTGTTACAAAGATCCACCTTACCAATCAAAATCAAACTTTAACGTTACATCTCTTGGAAGAAGTTTAATTTTATGTTACAATTATTCAAAATTTATTTATAATCTACCACTATATAACCCGATAGATTATGCTGCCTTCCTTTAATTTTTGTTTGAAAATATCTTTTAAATAACTTGTTATCAACAAATTATTGCTGATTTTATTTTTTTTAAATGAAAAAAAAGAGCATAATTTTCTATATTCATGCCGGGAACCCAAAATCACATGATCATCCATGTTTATGAGTGCCATATAGGTAGGTATAAAGCATGTTTTTTACTAGAGTAAGCAATCATTTAAATTTTACACATCAAAATGGGTAAAACCCCAATACATTTCCACAAAACAATGATCTCTACCTACCCACTCAGTCATATTCCTGTAATTAATGTTCTACAGCACATTCTAACCTTTAAAAATAGGGACCCAATTTTCAGATACACACTTGGGTTTCAATTAATACTAGTATTGCTCACATTAGCTGGAATATGTACACATATGTACACAGACAATACTGCTACATATATACCTTAGAACCAGGGATGCCATGTCGGATCCATCATACACAAGTTCCTTGGGTTTAAGGCAGCTTCAACCAACTCAGTAACACCCCGCTGCACAGATTGGGGGGGCTCCATGACATTCTCCTCCTATCAACATTAATTATGGTAAATACTAGACAATGTATAATCTAATCTACCATGTTAATTGTGATGTACTTCAGAACATGAAATGGCAAACATGTTGGTCAATAAAGGAGTGAGAAATTTGGAAAAGAAAAAAAAGGTAAGTATCAATCAATGAATTGAAAGTGGCAAGAGAAGGAAACAGAAACTTGAACAGTAGTCATTTTAAAAAGTTTAAAAATCATCCCCTTCTTCCCATTAGATTTTTCAGTAGTTATTTCATTACGAAATCAGAGATAGGTTTGTCCGAAGATCAAATTGGATCCTTGAATTTTTGGTAATCCGGTCTTATTATTTCCAATCATATTAGAACAATACATAAAAATTTAGAAAAATAAACATGCCACAATATTTTAGTTACTCACCTCGTCAGAAAAATTCTGCGGTGCTATTCCCATAATCCTTGCAACGACATGTTCCACATTTGTCATAACCTTTTGTTTAAAGTCAACAGGACTCATGGTACCGCCTGCAGCCATAGGGGCCATGGGCATCCCAAGTGGTCTTCTCCAAGACCAAGACAGTAACTCATCGCGGAAAAACATTGCTAGATGATGCCATAGATGTTGACTTTGCTGCAACACAGCAGTTTAAAAACAAATCAGTCGTACGTCATGCATCGTATGACTATAACATCAAAATAATTAAAGCATCTAGGTTGATATATTGGGTGTGTGTGTTTGTTATATAAGTTCTCACTTTAGGTGAAGCCACAGCCTGTGCAGCTGCACACATCGAAGATACAATAAGGCCTTCGACTCCATGGGAGAAGAATGCTTGCATATTCCTTGTTAGCCTGAATGGGACAGGCTCATTAAACTCGATCAGACCATTTGCATCATATGCAGGATGAAAATCAGTTTGAAATATTTTTCCAGTGTTCTTTGCAAACAAAATTTTGTTGGGAGACCTCCCACCAATTTGTAGCATAAAGGACATGAAACTTGAAAGAGCCAACTGGATGGCGAATTGCTTCTTGAAAGCCCACGTATGGTTGCCACTGGGTAGTGTTTTGTACATGTACTGTGAAAAGATGTTGTCATTAACAAGATTTTTTGTTATTTCGTTATAGGCTTGCAGACGAAGATCAACAACAGCTTCTGGGGATATTTGCCCAGATATAGCCTGATTCAACTGCTCCTTGAAATAGGTTATGGGAAGGTCTGCTTCTCGATCATTTCTTGAACAATGATTCTCATAGACCTCAAGGAAAGTACTGTACATCAAATCATCTTCTACCATGCGAACCTGACCATATAATTTTTCAAGCAAGATTAGTGGAACCTCTTATAAGTAGGAAATGACCAGTGAATGAACATAAAAGAAAAACAAGAAACAATGTGCCAAATGAAAATTGTTCTAACCTGGGACCAAACAGGAATAATTATTGGTGTGTGAATGCATATGTGACGGCGTCTCGATTCCTTGTGCTTCTCAAACATTTGGTTCATCACACGGAAGAGCTGTAATATGCGCTCATCACTTCTGGCATTGGGAGTCAAAGATGTCTGTACAATAAAATGGCGTTGGGAACCATCAGAACCAATTAGAGTCAGACGCCGAAAACTGCTCCCATGCCTCCGCACAATTGGAATATCAGCTGCAACCCTATCCAACTTCACAGTATGATCGGGTGTAATTTCCTGAAACAAGGTAAAATAAATGAAAGAGAATCAGTATAGGATGCACCATAAACTCAGGCTAACTACAAGTTATTTTTATCCCAATCAATCCGGTAATATCACACATATAAACTTTTAAGGTTTTGGCATTGTTGCAAAAATATATTCAAAGTAATCACCTGATCAGTGAAATACTGCCCTGGAACTTCAACATCAACAACATGGAAGTCCCGCAATACCCTACTCTCTTCTTCTAGCTTTAATACTGCAGGAAACCTGTCCTCAACATTACTTTGAAGTACATTCTTCCAGTGTTTCAACCTCTCAGTCAGTTGAGAGAGGGTAGATGGGAAAGTGGCAGTGCTTTCTGGATCAAGATCACGTTCAAAATCCTGTTTGTATTCCCTAACAAAATCCACATGCTTATTTACAGCGTCTGCTGAAAAACAAGCCCTGCAAACACCTGAGAGCTCTTTCTTGAGAGATTGAGGAACTTCTGCAGTTGTAGCTGTTGGATATTTGTAGCAGCGGTGGAGCAAAGCGTTAACCACAGCCAAAAGCCTTTCCTCAGGCAGAGTAACAAACCTTGAACCAATTTCTGTTAATAGAACCTGCAAAAAGAACCATAATCTAGTTTAGGAAAGACATGGTCAAATCTTATACTCGGATAGACTGGCGCATTTCATACCATATATACAAATCATTTTTATGCATGGCGGATTTGTGGTTGGTTAGTCCACAAATACTCCCTATGTCCCAAATTATAAGTCACTTTGCCAAAAATATTTGTCCCAAATTATAAGTCATTTACAATCCCAATACATCATTAATGACTTTCTGCCTAATATACCCTTCACTATTTATTTCTCTTTCTTCTTTCTATTTTTTTGATTTCGCTTTCCAATGTAATTATTGAAGGGCATTTTTGTAAAGTCATACATCATTTCACTTTCCCGTAAAGTAATAATTGTAGTATTTCTTAATTCGTGTGAAATGGCTAAAACATCTTATAACTTGGGACGGAGGGAGTACTACTTATTGCCAACAAACATGAAAGATGAGCTGCCGGGAAGTAATTTTAAGGGGATGTGCATGTGTTCTTAGAGTTGTTATATCTTAGAATTAGAGCTATGTACAAATCCCAAAAATGAGCTCTTGAGGTGCAGATTTTCCAAGCCTTGTAAGGAAAACTGTGACCATATCCTTAGTCAATGTGACATCTCAACTGTCAACACCACCAATGTCTGCTATACAGATTCCTAGGTTCACTCAATAAATGCATACAGCCGTTTCATAGTTTATCCCAATTGCTACTAGTCCTAGTTCTAGGGCCGCCAATTATTTCCTTTTTAGTTTGCTCTAATCTTTTGGCATTTTGTGTTGATAAATTATCTTAGTTTACTTTTATTGCATATGAAACCTATAACAGCATAAAAAATAATATTTCAATAAATAATAAAGGCATTTCTTCTAAATTTTGAATGCATGCCTTAAAAGAGATTAAAGGTTTATACTTCCTATAAGGGGCTATAACTGTGCAGTTAATAAGCCATAATCAATATGACAATTCAGTTTGAAAACTTTAAACAAAAATTCTATTTTTTTAGTATGGTTCAGTGCAGTTTACATTTGGTTTGGTTTGGTTTTTGAGTGAATCATGAACAGGCTTAGCTACTACCGCCTACCAGAAATAATATAGTTCAATTCTGAGACTGAGAGCAGCCCATTTAAGTATGGAGCCAGGAGATGTGGTGGAGAGGGTGAGGCTGTATACATTTCCTATTAGTCATACAAAAGCAAATAAAAAAGTCTTAATAAGATCACCTCAAGTTCACTGGCCAAATTGGCGTGCTTTCCCCTAAGAGCCTCCATTATATCCTTTGCAGCATCAAAGGCACTGGCAGCTGAAGCCACAAAACCCAATGCCCCAGCACGCCTTAAAGTGTTCTGACCACCTTCACTGAGGCTTGCAGAACCTTGCTGCAATTGTTGGTCATTTGCGTTGTGGATGTTGCTTTCTGCACTAGTGGACCTTTCAGGTTCTTGCCCATGTGAGTTTCCCCCATCATGAGATCCAATTCCACCAGTAGACTGGGAGCCTTGGTGAGCTTGATTATCAGATGATAAGGTACTCCCACCTGGACCTTGCACTCTTGCATTTCCATCAGCAATACCACCATGAGAACCTCCACCAGTACCAGAAACACTTTGCTGTGCTCTTTGCTGAGCCATTGTTATCCTTCCATTTTCAGATTTATTGGCAACATCACGTCGTTCCAGCAAGTATGTGCGCAGCCAATAATACAGAGCCTGACATTCGAGAGAAGAAACTCTGGATAAAAATTTGGGATCCGTATAACTTGCAATGGGAAAAAAATAACACTTACTTGAGGATACAAGGTTGCAATCTTCAGAAGAACAAGTTTACAGTGAGGAGCTTCTGTCCTCTGGAGGGAGAGCAAGAGCTGTGGAATCCAAGACAGCCAAACCCAATGTGGAATGTGTTCATAGTACTTATCAAATGCCCTTCCAACGGGCTCATTAGGAGTATCAAAACTAAGAAGATAAAGAACACGAGCTAAATGGCTTCTTGAATTGGACACGCCGAATTTTATACCTTGCAAGAAGCAGCTGACAGCATATTCCAACCAAACTTCTTCATGAGATTCTTTGTAAGCCTATTCATAGTTGATGGTGAATAAGTATCAAGTTCAAGTTAATGGTAATAAAAAGTAGAAGCAGGAAAAGTATGATAGTGGATACCGATTCACAATAGTTTCCCCAACTTATCCATCCCTTAGGCAGGTTTTTAAAAAGACTAATTGCGTTTGAATAAGCAAGATTTGCATTCTCGGAGTCATTCAACTTTAAGAAGAAGTCCCCTTTCAGCCGGAAAATTTCAGCCTTGTGCTTTGCAGGAAAGTACTCCAGATTAGTGCTGTTGATCAAATTAAGACCGGCTGTAACTTCTCCTTTTGTTTCTAGATATGCCTTTGCTTGCTCAGCTATCTTAACAAATGCTTCCTGTAAATACATTAAAGAAAAATATCAGATACAATTAACAGATGTTCCCAAACAGCAGAGCTTGCTGTAGTTAAAAATAATGCAAAATCAAGAAATAACACAGGTATGATAATACTATTTCTGTATGAGTATAAACACAAATGTAGTGAAGTACAACACTAATTTACAAATACTGTTCAGATTAATCAAAACCAATACTTGGCATTTGATAATGATAAGGTCCAGAATGTATCAGAAGAACTGCCCAAAAAATGATGGTGAAGTCAAATCACACTAGAGAATAGCCTCATCTATAATTCAAAAGACTTGAATAGATTGACATAATAGAAAAATAAACAGTTCTCAGTGAAACCTTTAACCAGAAGTTCACAACAGAGGTAGATAGCATCATACCTGTACTTCCATGGTTGAGTATCCATATAATTTTTCGAGTACGTTGACACAAACTTCAAATAGGCCTTGTTTGCGGGCAATATGAGCAAGCCTGTTGACAGTCCAAGCTTTGTCACGGTATCCAAGATGATGAAGTGCCGAATTTGTGGTGCTAAAATCTTTGAAAGCTTCGATGACAGAGTTGTATGTATCATTCCTCCACTGCAGCAAATCATACCAAACAGACATGTTATCCCATTCATTTGGAGTTCTTAGCCTCCATGTCTCAAGGATATCCTTCAGATCAGCATAAAGGTTTCCTTGCACGCCAACAGCTGAATTCCCAGAGAGTTTATTTCCATTGGAAATATCTATTAGGACCCTAGATGACTCTTGAACTTCAACTAATTGTTGGAATTGCTGTAGAAGGGGGATCCTGGAATGTACAGACATTTCTGGCAGCTGCCACCATTGTTCTAAAGCAAGATCAACCCCTTTACCCACCATGATTTCAGCATCCCCCACTCCATTTGTATTTTTTTCATGAAGAGCAAAATATGCATGAATCAAACGAAGTTTTGGAGTCTCTTCTACTTGAGCTTTAGGAATAACTTGCTCCTTCATATACGTCCAATCAGGCAATTTCCATAGAGTATCGAGCAGAATTTCATAATTATCAACACTCTTGCCAAATTCTACCAGTGCATCCCATTGACTAAGTTGACTGGCACAGCATAGCCATTGCTCTTCCCATAGACACATCTCGGCCTTGGGTACAGTGTTGTTATACGTTCCTTGAGTTGCCTTCACCATGGCTTGATAAAAGAGACTTTGAGCACGTTGCCAGTAACCATGCTGAACAAGAGATAGCCCTGCCCTGGTTTCAGCAGTGATTGACCTCTTCTTCCAAAGCCCGCATCTCATATCCTCTTCATTTAGCAACCGATAGAGCTCAGCCAGAGACTCACAGCATTTGGAATCATTCGGGAACAGCATAACATGACTTTCCAGCAAAGCCAATGCAATGTGCCATGCATTATATGTTTTCCCAATATATTTAATGAGCTCGCTCGGCATTCTAGGTTGAGGATGGCTCAACTGAAGCCCTTCTAATAGTGCTTGCACAACATTTGGCCTGCTGGCTTGCTGCCTCTTATGGTAATCTTTAGACAGAAGTGAAATCATAGGTTTAGCAAGTTGTACTTGTTCTTCTTTATGTAATGTAACCCAGACAATTGGAAATACCAGAACCCACAAATGGTATGCAACATTAGCATCTGTGTGGGCCAATTCTCTCAACGGAGTTAATAGATCGACCACCTGGAAAATTTGTTATCATTGTATAAGTACAAAACTGTAAAATGCCTTCCACTAACTGCAATGCAGAAAACTTATCAACAATTTGTGAAACTCAAAGGCAAAAAAAAAAAGTTTGACTTTTTCTATTGTAATATATTGTTTCCTTTTATTTTTTTGCCAAGTTTTGATAGTTTTTACATGGATAGTTTCAGGCAGTTCCGGATTTCATCCTTAAAGTATGTGTTTCGATTCTGCTCTCTTCATAAGTATATACAGTCTTACTGTGAATAGCATACAATATTAAGATTTATGTATCAGTATTCTATAAATATATGACATGTTCTCCACATAGACAACTATATAAGTGTGCCACCGGAATCTGTTAACATGTTATTGATGTAAGTAGTAACATAATAATAACCTGGGCAAGAAAATTAAAAATATAGTAGAAAAACCTCAAATACGACAGTCAATCATTGAACTGAAAAGAAAAAACAAAACAACAGGTGGTTTACCTCGAGTTTGCTCATACTGTTAAGAAATTGAGTATGCTTAACCACAAGGGTCTCAAATGTTAGTGGTGCATCCTCAGCTCCTTCAGATGTATCATTAACCTTGTGCTGCATTCCAGATGTTTCAAGAAGAGGGCTTGATACCAGAAGTGGTTGAACCCTGGCAGAATTTGGAGCTAGTGTAATAGGTTTATCATCAACTAATATTGCCAAGAGAAGATCAAGACCTTGTTTGAGCCAGAAGACATCACTCAAAGCTCCCCAGTCTTGAACTTGGATGATGAATTGAAGCCTGGTGAAAAGAGTTTTCCCAAGAGACTCGTGATACAGAGAGAAGAACTTCATCCTAATGTCAGGATCTCTAGCTCGTAAACCAAGCATAAACATCCTTTCTACCTTCTGGAAAACCTCTTGACGCAAGGATAAAGGGTACCTGGAAACCAATAAAAATTAATAAAAAACAGTACAATTCAAGCATAACAAAATATACTTAAGATGCTTTACTTACTTATCTGAATCAGAACAAATCCCAAAGAGAAGTTCAAGATATTTCCGGTCCCATTCATCCAGATGACTTGGTGTGAAATTTTGTTTATCAACTTGTGAAAGCTTCTGAAGAAAAGAAACTATCTCCTTCGGAGTGAGAAAGGTGCTTGTTATAACTGAAGTTCCTTGTTTAGTGAAATCATCTTCAATCCACCCTTTAATTACATCAAGTATGCAAAGAACTACACTAGCATCAATACCTTTCTCTGAGAGTAAAGCATTCAATATTTGAGATACAGATCGCTTGCACTCGGGAACAACCATCACTCTTTCTGTGATAAGTTTTAAGATCGATTTTAGATTTGAAATAACTGCTCCAACATCAACACCTTGACGAGAAGACGTGACTGCTGAATCTGGATCAGTTCTTTGACCCTATTAAAATTGGAAAACATTCTTAAATAAATTTATTTAAAACAGAAAGAGTCAAGCAATGCTGGCATAGATTAAAATTTGAAAACCAAAAACATATCATGTAATAAGGCAAGATATGTTCTAAATCTAAATAACAATGAAACGACTTCAACAGACTTGATTTAACATGCAGTACATTACAGTCGAAGAAACACACATTGAGGGGACATCAAAAGGGCATAGGAACTGCTTGCATTACCATAAATAAACAACTGTATATGATATATAGTTAATAGAGTCAACATGTCTTTATTTTAAACCTAGGTACAGATCACATTTGTGCTTACCTATGAAAGTCAGGTAGCAGGGCAGGTATTACCGAAATGAACCATAGAACTTTATATATAAGTACTTAAAAGATGAAAATGGAAATCAGCAGGAATCTTGAAGAGGAAAATTGGAACGGCATCACAAGAGTGGTGTATCATCTGATAGAGACTCAGTTTATTAGTACCTAGAGTCTACGGATTAGTGATAAGGTACAAGTAGGGCCGGCTACATGGATCAACTTCCTTCATAATGTGTTATCCACTACCATGCTTCTACCTCTAATTGTTTGACTCCTCTCCATCTGATCTACTCTCTTTACCACAGAATATACAGGTCTTCTCTCTACATGCTCAAACTATTTAAGTCTATTTTCCACCATCTTTTCTACTATAGGTGTTACCCTAACACACTCTCTAATATTGTCATTTTTAATCTTATCATATTTAGTCTAACCACACATCCAACGCAACATCCTCATCTCTGCTACACTTTATTCTCATGTTGATTCTTAACCGGCTAACATTTTGTCTTGTACAACATCACACGTCTACCGCAATCCAATAAAAATTTCCCTTGAACTTGAGTGTGTCACATAAAATCCCTTAAACCCTCATCCATTTCAGCCCCCAACTTGAATTCGATGGTTTACAATCCCTTCTATTTCTCTATCGTTTTGTATTATGGATCCAAAATATTTAAATTGTGAGACTTGTGAGATGATATGGTCTCCAAATTTCACCTTTAGGTTAGAAACGTTTCTCTTTTTGTTGAACTTACATTTCATATACTTTGTTACTTCTATTTAAGCAAAAGTCATACATTTCTAAAGCTGGTCTCTCGATCTCCAAGCTCTCATTTAAATCCTCCTTCGACTCTCCAAGTAGGACTATATCATCTGCAAAAATCATACATCTCCATGCTACCACTTGGATGTGTTCTGTGAGTACATTATAATTTAAAGTAAAAAGGTGAAGACTTAGTGTTGATAGAGTTTTACACAGATCATAAGAGAGAGTTTAACTTGAGAAGAGGGAAAGTCGTGGATTGGAGAAAGCCATGGATACATGCTAAAATCGAGAGAGAACTAAACTGATACCATATTGAAATTTCAGAATATAATATTATGATTTTATTGTTAAGAAATACAATAGATTCAACACTATTTATCTATGAAGCACAAACACCCCGAACATGACCCTGACACTGACACCGATAATAATTTGAAAAAATGAATAAATTAAACGCAATCACAGGTGTCAGTGCAGGTGTCCTACACAGACACGAACACGGACACGCCTTTTTCAAAAGTGTTGGTGCTTCATAGTTATTTATAGAGTTTTAGTTAGGCTAAATTAACTTCTAACTAACTACTTTAAATCAAGGGAACAATTCCTGACTTCAAGGAGTTGTTATAACAGAAACTAACTGCATGACAACTGGCACAGACGCCGACTGGAACACGCGCCAGCTGCCATGCCTTTACTAAAAGCATCTCTAACACTAATAATAGAAACACGAGGGAAAATTCAACATACTTGTCTTATATGAGAACTTGCTGATGAACCCATATCACGTTGCAGCCGCTGAAGAAGGCGAACCAAAAGTAAAGGATCAATGAAATTCCTCTGTACCTCGGTCAAGGTTTTAATGACAAGCAATAAAAAACTAATTGCACCAGCATTATTATCATCACTAGATGTTTGAGGAGATGTGACAGTGGAAACATGCTTTTGTATCAAATCGTCAACCTTCTGGTACAACAACTTAACGTCAGGAGGTGTTGAAGCTGCTTCTTGAGGAAAAGCAACACAAATCATTCTCAACAGTGAGCAAAAAGACTTGCCAGCATCTAAAAGTTTATGCTTGAAACATGGTTCAAGAATCTGGAAGGAAAAACAATTATACCATTACAAACATTGAAGCATTTGGATTTTGGAAAATCAGACAAACATATGGGCATGACAATAGGCCTACTTGAGAAATCTGGTTAATGTTGTTTCTTATGAACAAGTGAGGCTGTTTCTCTAAAACTTTGTTCATGACATCCAAACCCTGTGCCAGCGCAGTGGGAGGGTCTTTTGCTTGAGATGGTTGTATACTGCTCAACAACTTCTCCAAATAATTAAATTTTACATTTGCATTTGGCCACACCTCTAAAGCTTGGGAAAGTAGCTCCAAAGCTTGTTTATACATGGCACTTGCTTCCTTGTCCTTGGGTTCAATAACCAGAGCAACCTAATTACAGAGATCAAAGTTAATCCTCAATGTAATCTTGACAGACAAAATGATTTAGGAGGGGATATTGAATATTAAATGGGGAACTTTTAATAAACTGATTAAACTTTCGCCTCAAAATAGAAGAGCCCGCACTTTCACACATATGCATACTTGTCGACTCTACACCCCAAAATAAAGGTGAGATGTAATACCAAGATAAATAACATGTTACCTCAGCTATTTATCTATTACAAATGCAGACGTTGGATACAGGAGCGATGTAGCGAGATTAGAATAAAAGAATGACAGTATAACAAAGCATTTCCAACATCATCAAATTCAAACTACAGGTTTGTACGGCTTTTTGGGAAAAGCAACAGCAATTTATGCAGCCAGGCTGTAAAATATTGCATATAGCCTCTTCCCAGATTAAAAAAAAGCTTTTTATGAATTAACCTGCCAGCACCAATATTATGTAAAAGGCTAAAAGGCATATTAGAAGTAAGCCTCACTCTGATAAGAAAATTTATAATCATCTCCTCCATAGCAGCATTTGGTTTAAATTCTTCATCAGGTTGACTGGTAGATCCTGGGGTTTCAATGTTAGGGATTGACGACGGACCACCAGGTGACATTACACAAAGAGGTTGAAGACCAGGTTCTGCTTTTACTCGCTTAGTTGTATCATCAGGAAATGTGGATCCATCCACAGATCGCTTAGACTCAGCTGAGTTAGGATTAAAGACATCACTGATTTGGCTCGGAGCATCAGAATCAGTAACTTTCATCTCATTTTGTCTTTGCCTCTCCCAGTTAACAACTAATCCAGCAAGTTCAATGGCAAGACGTCTGTTTTCTGTTGTGGTATTGTATGGCAATCCCAGACGACTCAGAGAATTCACCATCTGTGGAACAAACTGTGCTCTACAGCTGTAGAAGAGATCCGAATGGCGGACAATTAGTTGGAATATATGAATAAGATTTGGAATAGAGTGACCTTCTTCAACAAGTATTTTCTTGGTGTATCTTATCCAAATGGGCATCCGAGAATCACCGAGAGGCAAGCGTCGTGGCAGTGCTGGCATTAGAATGTCAAGAGCCTGTCTGACCAACATTCTATTTTCTGGTTGGCAGGTCCTAAGAAGAGCTACAAAAACCTGCAGTTGCAAACCAGTACGCTTATATTATGCATAAGAAATTGATCTAGGTACACATAATACAGATTTTCAAAGCACGTTGAAATTTCAAATAATTTCAAATAAAACCAGTGTCTCCTATAGGTTCAGAAATGTTCAAGTTCAATCTATAGGCATCAACTCATACATACATATCAAACAAATCACAAACACAACAATAATGACTACCTTCAACTTCTATATCAAACCCCCAAAAAAAAAACTCATATAAAGGGAAAGAAACCCTGGGATGTTTACAAAATATATAATGCTTGTCATTGAAAGAGAATAAGAATCATGAAAGATATATGTCAAACATTTTACCAGTAATAAACCAAAAAACTTGTAAGTACAATATTGTCTACCAACTAAAAAAGAAAAAAGGTGTAGACAGAATAGCCATAGCCCATAGGGAATCAAATTTTGCAAGAAATCATCCAAACACTAAAACTACAAATGTAGATATTACGGAATTAATGCTGCAAGCTTGAGGTTGTACTAGGTTCAAAGGAGGATATATTATCCTCGCCTTCGTTCCATTTTCAAAATAAGGATGAAAATTAAAAAACAATAGGATGTAAAGCCAAGCGATTAGACAAAACTGTATTTCCATACGAAAAATATCCCAGTCATCCAAATAATAACAAATTGAAGTAAACCACATGTGAACAAGACATTGAGAGCATGTAAACAAAAGTCAATGTTTCCATACCTGAAGTATTATTTTTTCAGGAGCTTGATATGCCTCCAAGAAATGGCAAACATTTACAAATGCCCATTGTTTGCTCGCAGTATCTTCACGCTTAAGATGGTTCCACCCAAACTTTATTAGTTCCTTCCTATGATGGACAAGATCATTCTGAAGATACTTAAGAAGCAAAGTTGCAAGCTGCAATAATTCTATTCTTAAAGGCTCGTCGTATTCGGCAGAAATCTACAAAAGAGAGATTCAGCATTGAGAGACAAGTATGAGCATCAAAAGTTCTATCACAAACATTCAATTATAATGATTTAAAGGAAGGGTCATGTAAAAATCAAAACATAGCAGAATATACCTCTTCTGGAGGATCAAGAAGTTTGTCGACGATTGTTTTTATAATTGCAGGATCAACAACTTCCCAACTTTGCCCGTTTTGGAAGGCATGTGCAAGCATTGGAAGAATGAGCATTTGCATTACAATCACCAAATGGTCATGCCCAAGTTGCTTTGATTGGAAAAGGTTGAGGAAATGTAACAGGAGGGCCTTTTTCATGCTCGAAGAATAACCTTCTGCAACCTAAAAGGCACCACAATAGTTCATGTGTGAATGATGAAATACAAGAATGAGGTTTGATCACAACAGCAAACTCATATCCAGTTATGAATTACCTCAATGATGTAAAACTCCTTCAGGAATGTATAGTCTATTCGACTATGAAATAAGAATATGGTAAGTATATCAAAGAGAACATTTACTTCATTTTTGTCATGTCTTAAGTAATTCAAGAAGCACTTCACAAGCCATTTACTTTCTTTGATCTGCAAATCCATGAAGATGACTTGGTCATGCATCTAAAATCAACAATGATGATAGAGCACTAACTAAATTGAGCTTTGTTTATACTTACTTGCACTAGGTTCAGTTCCTGTTCATTTTCCAGCCGGGATATTCTAGCAGGTGACTTCCATACTAGTACTAATGTATCAAACACGATACGATTACTTTGTAACCAGCTGGGCATTAATTTGACTAGGGTTTTAATAAGTGCTAGACCTTGAAAGTAAGCATCGGAAGTTGCATTGGAAGTAGGAACAAGAACATTAGGGGCATCGGTCGATGCAGAAACATGGCCTTCTTCACCTGATAAAGTAGTATGTGTAGTCGTGGATGATGAAGCCATTGACACCTCAGATTTGGGAATAAATTCGAAGAATGCACTTGAAAGTATCTTTTGTGGTGATTTTGCAAGTTCATCTCTCAACGGCTGACCGGCTTCTGAACAAACTATATACATAAAACTGAATTTACAGCAAACAGCATAGACAAAAGAAACAAAGTCAGCATCCAAAATTATTAGTGATTTAATTAAAAATTAGCATTCTAAAAACTTACCGCCTGAAATATTTTGGTTCACTTAATCGAGCAAGAAAATAATCAACCGCAACAGGTGCATATCGATTTAAAAACTTTGTAATTGGAAGGCGGTATGGACTATTTATTTCACTGTATACTTGTCCAGGAGGAAGAGCTCCTTCCAAATCAATAGTCATGGTTACAAGTTCATCGAGGAACTTAGAAGCAGCAGGAGGAAGCAAGTGAAAAAGATCAATTATAGCTGCAGCAGTAGAGAATAATGACATCAGTGCAAGAATAAGATTAGGAGATGCATTAGATAAACTTGCATTAAATGGGTTAGACCGTTAGACCATAGATGTATTACCTGCAGCTATCTTTGGTTCTTCACCAGCCTTCCATGACTTTTGACATTGTGCCAACTTTTCAGGCTCCAGCCACCTCCTTAGATGCTCTAAAAGTTTGCCGCCCAAGGTAACATTGAACCAATTGGATAACAGCTCAAGCAGGCGGGCAAGGCCTAGTAGAAGAGGCATGCTGAGATTTTTTGTGTGAGCTAAATTGACCAATATAGGCCTAAGGCTGCTTTGTAAAAGTTCTTTGGGCATCCTTTGATTTATAACCTACGTGATACAGGCATATAGCATTAATTGAGATTAAAATATAATACCAAGTATACTAAAAGCACCTGTATCGATATCGGGTGTGAATTACTTAGCTAGTCCCACGCCCCAAAAAAAGAAGGTTGACTTAGTCAATCATCAACAGACGTAAAACTTTGCCAGATTTTCATGAACTAAAAATGTATGTCAAAATTAAAAACATGCACAGATAAGATATAGTAGCGATTTTGATCTTTTAACAACAACACCAGAACAATAAGTATGAAAATACTGTAATGGAGTGGAATATATAATTAGGACCAAATGATCCCAGAATTAACTAGTATTTATCATATATATATATAGGCCCTCACATTCCCATGCGTACATCATTAAGGATATATCTGCACATGCATGGCAATCAAGCCAATCACGAAGCTTAAAAGTATACAACATAAAAGCTGATTATACCTGCCGCAGGCCTTCCTTAGCAACGGCAACAATATCTTGATTCCGACATGTTAAAGACTTAAAAAACATTGAGATGATCTTTGCACGCAAGTCAGAATGATTTGGAGTCTTAAAATCAGCCCATGCCATTGTTGTGCATAGCAGTTCAATGCAAGCTGTTCGAAGTTTAGTCAACGATGTCACAACTTTGGGGTTGATAAACTTAGCAACCCATGCATTGTCCTCAGACTCTGCTATTTGTAATGCGTCTTGGAGGAAGTTAACTAACTCTGGAGTCAACTTGAGAAGAGGTGGCCGCAAGGCTAGACAAAAGTTCAATGCTGTAACTGTTCCAACCTACACAGTATAATCAAGTGAACTAGTGAATGAATAAGAGCTCAAAGAAAGAACAAATAAACAACCCTAAGGAAATAAGAATTTAAGGATACCTGTTGATCAACTGTCTTCAACTTAAGTGGCCGCACAATGAGAGGCTGGAGAAATGGATGATACAATTGCTCTAGTAATTCGGACACCTCGCTACCAGTCCTGCTAGCTAAAAGTGCCAAGCATGATTGTACATTCTTTCTCACAATGATAGAGGCGTTCTGGTTGAATAGCTCTTGAGCAAGAAAATCTACTACTCCTTGAAAGCTCTTTTTCCGCGCCTCACTGTTTGCTTCATCGGCATTATTCACTACTCGAAGAACCTGAGTGAGCACTTGACTTGTCTCTTCCTGCTCTTTGCTAGCATAAATTGGAAGCTTTTTAAGGACATATGTTAGACCTCGCACAATTCTTACTTGAAAAAGGCAGAGGGTCTCAACAGTGACCTTTCCAACCAAGGCACCAAGTCCCATGACACCACCTATTTGTGCTTGCCATTTAAGTCCATAGCAACAATGAAGAAGACGGGGCAATAATTGCTCAAACACAGGAACACGGACACTAGGGGGAGGAGAATACACGGGATTCATTGATGGACTAGAGACAATCATAGGTGTGCCAGGCCCTCTGGACATTATGAAATCAGTATGTTTTGAACGAGCAAGAAATACAAGTGTTTCGGAAAACACATTCAAAGCATCAAGAGCAGCTTTGGCATGGAGCCTGTTTTCATCTGCCAGTACATCAACTAAAGCATCCAAGAATACTAAAGGATCCAGCTCCTTCAGATTTGAAGGAACACTAGATTTTATCCTAGAACCAACATGCACAGATAACGATGAACCCATTGCAGCTGCAGACACGTTGCTAAATGAAGAATCAACATGAAATATCATCGCAAAATGGCGACATATATTGACAACAAAATCATCTGCAGAATCTGTGAGATCTGGTTCACCATTAGCAGCAATGATAGTCATTAAAAGAATCTTGAAAACAGATTTCTCAGCCATAAGTTGAGTCTTTGTCTTAACTCCTAAGTCAGCCTGGAAATGACATGCTATATATTATATGACAGCAACTATAAATAAACCATAGCACAAATCTAATTTAAATATGTTATTGAATGCAAAAATACTGGAGAGAACAAGAGAGACACTAAAGAAGAAGCACAAGTAGCTATATCATGTTCAGGTCGTGAATTCAGCAAAAGGAACATAATGGTAATAAGCTGTGGCAGAATTATTGACTAATTTATTAGACTGTTGTGTAGGAGTGTTCTATGAAATGTGGTATGCAGAAGCTAGAGATGGCAAAAAGGGTCAACCCGACTTGTTTTGACCCACTCTGTCATTAAGCCGTCTTAAAAGAGGTGGGGCGGGCCAATTAGAGGTGTTGGATTGAAAATCCCACCCCGCTTCTTTTAGTGACGGATCGGCAGGTAGACCCGTCAATTCTTTTCTTAAAATATATTAATTAAAATCATCACAATTAATATAAAAATGTAAGAAATAAATAAATATAAAGACACCATAATATATACTAATGAGTCCACTAAAAATATGAAAATTATCATTTACTCCCTCTGTCCCAAAATAAGTGTCTCTTTAGCCTAAAAAATTTGTCACAAAATAAGTGTCGTTTTAATTTTCCAATGCAACATTAATTGATTTTTACCAATTTTACCCTTAATTAATTATGTTTGCACTACTCTCAAGGCATTAAATTTCACTTTGCTTTTATGACAATGTAAAAGTAACCAATAATCATTAAGGACAATTTTGTAAATGTGTTATAATTATTCTTTTACTCATTACTTTTCTTAATTTGTGTGCCATAACCTTAAAAAACTTTTATTTTGGAACAGAGGGAGTATATATTAATATTTAATCATCTATAACTCTAATAATTCAATAATCCAAAATAAAAAATTGGTTTGTTCACAAATTGACAAATTATGAGAAAGGAGGTTAAATTCAAGAAACTAAAGTGATGGGATCATATTAAATGACTTTTTTCTCAACTCTTTGGAGGGAAAATTTGGAAAATGAATTGTGATTTATAAGTAAAAAGAAGCGTAAAAAAGAGTTTTTTAATCTTCTCTTAACCTAACAAGTCAACCCGCCTTGCCCCATCAGCACCTCATTTATTAAACGGACCGACCCAACTAGTAGTGGGGGTTCAAAATCTCAAGTCGCCCCACCAAAAATGACTGACTAAACGCCCTAGCAGAAACTATATGTCCCCACATTAATCAAAAGTGCTGGTACAGTGTTTTGGAGAATTTGAGAAGCATTATAATAGTAGCAAACTAACCTTTACATCAATTGACTCAGACCTGCGTGACGAATGATCAACTGTAGAAGCCAACAATGTGGACAGCTGTTTGGATGTGGTTCCCTCATCAGTAACAGTTCCAGGTAAATTGAGCTGAGATGATAAGCACACGCGAAGGAACTTTAGAGCCTGCTTCCGATAGAAAGCATCCATGCCACAATTTCTGTTCATTATAGCCTCTACAGCGAGATTTATGCATCGATCAAGTGGCACCAAGAATGGGGTGGCAGGCTCAAATGTCAAAATCAGGCGAAGCCCGTGCTCAGGGTTCTCTTTACACTCTAGTGCCAGAGGCTCTTTGAGGAATCGCCTGTTTCTCCCACCTAACTTTCCAAGAAGCTGTAATGCTTTAGCACCCCAAGAATAGGGAGCTGGTCTTAGGTGAGACCACAAGGCCAGAATCACTTCAGACATGACATTGGCCATACTAGGTTCTAGGAAGTCGGGATTTAAACTATCAACCCAAAACTCTAGTGTTCGTAAACCAAGACTTACTAGTTCATCACTTCCCTTGAGACATAATACCAGAGGCTTCATAAGACGAGACAGGTATGGTAACAGAGAGCTCAAACGGGCAGGCATGGTCATGCAGAGCTCTAATAGAAGATCTCTCATATCCTCCACAGTTGGCCCTTCCAACATAGCCAATAGCAAATTGAGGCAGGGCTGCAACAAGGGGATCAGGTCCCGCAGCAAAAGTTCAAACTTGCACCCTGAAAGTGCCCGGAACATTGTTCGAAGCAACTGCATGTAACCAAGAGGTCTTTCAACTTCGGTAGAACTTTTCATGCAATTTTCCATTATGACAGGCACATGAGGCTGCAAAATCCGTTCAAAATCTGAAGGTGCTTTAGCAACAGCACCGAATATAAACCGAAAGAGATGCAAGACCAGTTTTGCCGCAGGGGAATCTGGGCTTTTCAACACATCAAGTTTGCTGTTTACAAGAAAATTAACAAGCACATCCGCAAATGGCCGGTACACTTTAGGAGCCGCAAGAAGAGTAGAGAATATATGGACAAGTTGTGAGTTGGAGATCATGCACTCAAAAAGCTCAGGCATACACAGAGAGAACATATCCATAAGATCTCGAGGTTCCATGATGGCCAAAATTTGTGAGAAGAGATGAAGCATTTCCCTCTCCTCATCCTTCTCCTTAAAGAGTGCTAAGCAATGAACACCACTTTTCAAAACACCGGAGGCTTTGTAGACCTGCACAAGACTCTAAAGTCAACTTAAAAAGTTAAGCTTAAAAACACCAACATTCAACTTAAACCCATCTAAAGTACCTCATCTTCTCTCATGCCCCTAGATGCTTGAGGTGGTGATAAATTAGATGAAGGTGCAAGCACCTGTAATGTTCCATGAATAGGGAAAATATCACACATGAAAAACATTATAGCAGGATGGGGGAGGTGAATCCACAGACTGCAATCATTATACCAAGGATTTATTACCTGGGATCTAGGAGAATGTGCATGAGTGATGCTCCATATGATGGTCTTCATTCCTGAAAGTCATAATAAATTAAAAAAAAAGAAAAGAAAAGCAATGATATTTCTGATCGTATGATAAAAATGGGCAAGTTCTTCAGATGATAAAAATGGGTATGTTGTTCTGAAAAAGATAAAACTGGGTATGTTTACAAGTCAAGGAAAAACAATTAAACTAGTTGAAAGCTTGACACTCTAAAAAACCAAGATAAGGAACTTCAAACGGTTTATAGAAATAAATTACCCATCACCAATGTCTTAATCAGATGCTTGTAATCATTTACTTCCTTTGAATATTCAGGAGGGCCCACAATATTGAAAACTGCCTGCAAAGAGAACATGGGCCAAAGTCATTTCAAGCAAAACCTTTGTAGCACTGACACCTTTTAAAAAAGGTGTGTCAGTGTCCAAAACAGACACCAACATCTGTGATTACGTTTAATGTATACATTTCTTCAAATTATTACCCGTGTGAATCTGTTAGTGTTGGTGTCATGTTTCCGGTGTCCGTGCTTCATAGAGCAAAACTCAAGTTAATGGTAAATAGAATAGTATTTTAACAATGAAGAATTAAAAAACAGCAATAGTACTATTTTCACTTAAAGACATACATAGTATGCAATGACGAAAAATTACAAGTTACAACTTTTCAATTTTCATCCTTCAGCCTTATCAATTATGCTTTGATTATGTCTTGGTGTTTCAGGTTTTGATTAGTTCAGATGTTTTAAGGTCTTGGCGTTTCAGGTTTTGGTTAGTTCATATGTTTTAGGTCTTGGAGTAAAGTTATTTAACCCAAGTAGGTTATCCAATTGTGTATAAAATTATGATTCATTGAACAATTACACAAGTACATTTTATTCATTTATTCAGAAACTGAAAATAAAAAACAAGAAGTTAGTTTATTCTGAAATTTAGTAAAAACATAAGAACCAGAATGAAAAGACTAAAATCCCAATAAAACATACTTCCAGAAACACAGATATATATTGTACTAACAGTTAGCCAAAAACAACCTCATTTTCAAGCAACTTTACGATAAAAAAACAACCTCTGATTTAGATGGTTTGTGTTTGGAGAAATAGGAGAGAAACAGAGTACTAGCCTCTAGCTGAGTCTGCAAACACATAACTGACTTGAAATTAACAGGCTTCTTGTTTTTATTATTCACTTTTTTCTGGTCGAATCTTATCTCAGTATGCAGATAGCCTAAAATGTCCAACTTAATGACAAAAGAACTTTTATTTAGTTAAACAATATGACCTTATTCTCAATTGATAACATAACCTAAATAGTTCTCAAATAAAGGTATAAGTTTACTTCCTAATTTTGGAGTATGCTTTCTTATGTTTGCCATCATTCCCTTCTGAGTTTATCAGCAAATCCACAATCCTAATATAAAATGATGGTGTTCCAATGAATTAGATGCATGGGGCATAATGAGGAATTCCAAAAAGCAATGTCCTCAAGTTCTACTAGAATTGCAAGCCAAGAATAAGATGTTACTCATTTTTCTTAAGAGCAATTCAATCGACAGAACTGTTTACTTTAGAATGTGTGGGTTAGACCTAACACATTCCTACAAAACCGGCTTGTAAGGTGAAGATTGTCCTCACTTATAAATACAATAAATACAACACAGGCCATATCTCTAAGCAATGTGGAACTAAATTCACCCCTTCAAACCCAACACAATGAAGGTGTTGGAGGTTGCAATGAAGGCAAGTCAAATGCCGGCGATTAAGGGCGAACAGCAATGAAGGCAGAAATTTCAACACACCCCTTCAAGCTTGGGCCTCAATAAGACCGAAGCAGGGACGATGTGGAAGCCCAACAAATGATCTAGGAAAGGCTCTATTATCATCTTAGAATGTGTGGGTTGAACCTAACGCATCCCTACAAAATCGACTTGTTAGGTGAAGATTGTCTCCACTTATAAATACAACACATGCCATATCTCTAAAAGCAATGTAGGACTAAATTCACCCCTTCAAACCCAACACAGTGAAAGTGTTGGAGGATGCAATAAAAGCAAGCCAAATTTCGCAATTTAGGCGACTAGGAGCGGACCGCAATGAAGGGGGAAATTCTAACCGTTTATTGATGTTGTTGATATTTGTATGTAGAATAGTCCCACATCGATTATATAGTGTAATTAGTTGTAATCTTTCTATATATAATAAAGTCTCTGTAGTGCTTTCAAAACACACGGTTTAACCTAAATGTCTCTTAGTCTCTCCTAATTCAATATGGTATCTAGAGCCTTCTAAGAGGCAATTCTTCGTCGTGCTTTACCCGGTTGACCCACTGTCTTCCGGTAAGAAATTTTCTTCTGCAAACCGTGTCATCATTCCGGTTTGCCTCACCTTTTTTTTTCCAGCGACCTCTGCCAAGCACAGTCCACGAAAAAGAAGAAAAAAAAAATTTTTGGAGGACTACTGTTCACCGCCGCCGCTACTGTTCACGAAAAAAAAATAAAAAATTTCGGAAAATCGCCTTCCTCCTCCAGTTCCAGATCCGCCCTCGGCTTTCGTTTTCGACTCACAGAAAGTCGTACTCTCGAAAAGTCGTACACTATGCAAACTTCACCTTCTCTTCAGAACCCTACGCCAAGCTACGAGGATTTTCTCAGGTGGTGTCAGACTAACCAGACCTCTGGTTCCACGGCTTCGTTTGCACACACTGGTAATTCATTTGTTTGCGTCTCTCAATCATCTCCTCTTGGTCCTTGGGTCCTCGACTCTGGTGCGTCTGATCATGTTACCGGTAATAAAAATCTTTTCTCTTCCCTTTCTACCTCTGGTTTCTTACCGAGTATAACTGCCGCAAATGGTTCTCAAACCCGACCCCAAGGGATCGGTACTGTTCAAATTCTACCATCTCTCTTTGTTACTTTTGTCCTATATGTACCTAATTGCCCATTTAATCTACTGTCAGTCAGCCGTTTAACTCGTTCCCTTAATTGTTCTATCATTTTACTAACAGTGATGTTATTCTGCAGGATCGAAGTTCGGGACAGACGATTGGCGTCGGATGTGAGTCTCAAGGCCTCTACTACTTCTCTACGTCATCTACCACATGCTCCACCACAAATTCTCCACTCATTATACATGCGCAGTTAGGTCATCCAAGTCTTCCCAAGCTACAAAAGTTGGTGCCCAGTTTATCTAAATTATCCACTTTACAGTGCGAGTCTTGTCAATTAGGGAAACATACTCGTAGTCAGTTTCCTGATCGAGTCAATAAACGGGCTGCATCTCCTTTTGCTTTAGTTCACTCCGATGTTTGGGGTCCATCGCGTACTGTGTCTACTTTTGAGTCTAGGTATTTTGTAACATTTATTGATAATTTTTCACGTTGCACGTGGCTATTTTTAATGAAAAACATATCTGAATTATTTTCTATTTTTGAACAATTTTATCGAGAAATAAGAACCCAATTTGGTTTGTCCATTCGTACCTTAAGAAGTGACAATGCTCGTGAATATTTATCCCAACAATTTCAAACTTTTATGTCATCCAATGGTATTCTACACCAAACATCTTGTCCTCATACACCTCAACAAAACGGGATAGCCGAACGCAAAAACCGGCATCTTGTAGAAACCACTCGGACTCTACTTCTCCATGGTAATGTCCCTCTCAGATTTTGGGGGGATGCTGTGCTCACAGCGTGTTATCTCATAAAACGCATGCCCTCATCTGTCCTTAATAATAAAATCCCTCATTCAATCTTGTTTCCAAACTCTCCTCTTCATCCAATTCCTCCTCGAGTCTTCGGGTCTACATGTTTTGTGCATAATCTCTCCCCTGGTCTTGATAAACTATCAGCTCGATCACTAAAGTGTGTCTTTCTTGGTTATCATCGATCCAAAAAGGGTTATCGTTGCTACTCACACACTCTGCAACGATACCTGATATCGGTCGATGTTACCTTCTTCGAGTCTGTGCCATATTTTGCGTCCACCCAAGTCACTCCGAAACCCCTTCAGGAAAGTACTCCCACACCTCTTCCGGACGTCCCATTTCCCATTATTCCCCATCATTCTAGGGAACCTGTCCCACGAGAAACCCCTACGGTTGACCCCCCCACTTCTCATCCACTTCAAACATATCAGCGTCGTAAACCAACGTCTGTCATACCTGTCCCTGAGGTTGTACATGTCCCTGAGGTCGTACCTGTCCCTGAGGTCATTGCAGACTCTCCTCCGACGCTATCGCCATCACCGGATTCGATCCTATAACCTGAGTCTGATCTTCCGATTGCCCTTCGCAAAGGTATACGTCAAACACGAAATCCTTCTCCACATTATATTGATTTATGTTATCATCGTCTTTCCCCTTTGCAGTATACTTGTTTGTCCTCTTTGTCTTCTGTTTCTATTCCTAAATCTCCAGGTGAAGCATTATCTCACCCTGAGTGGAGGCAAGCAATGATCGATGAAATGTGTGCTCTTCAAAGCAGTGGTACCTGGGAACTAGTTCCTCTACCCACTGGAAAATCTTTAGTAGGTTGTCGTTGGCTTTATACAGTGAAGGTTGGTCCAGATGGTAAGATTGATCGTTTTAAAACTCGCTTGGTAGCCAAGGGATACACTCAGATTTTTGGATTGGATTATAGTGATACCTTCTCGCCTGTAGCCAAGATGGCATCTGTTAGACTTCTTCTAGCCATTGCAGCCATTCAACACTGGCCTCTTCATCAACTTGACATCAAAAATGCATTTTTACATGGTGATCTTGAAGAGGAAGTATATATGGAGCAACCACCTGGATTTGTTGCTCTGGGGGAGTCATCGAATATGGTTTGTAGGCTACACAGGTCTCTTTACGGTCATAAGCAATCTCCGAGAGCTTGGTTTGGCAGATTCAGCACTGTAGTACAACAATTTAGTATGGTCCGTAGTGAAGCTGACCATTCTGTCTTTTATCGTCACTCAGTACAAGAGTGTATTTATCTTATTGTGTATGTAGATGATATTGTCATAACTGGTAGTGATGAGTCGGGAATACTCCAGTTGAAACAACATCTTTCAAATCAATTTCAGACAAAGGATCTTGGTAAACTCCGGTATTTCTTGGGTATTGAGGTAGCCCAATCTAAAGATGGTTTGGTGATTTCTCAGCGGAAATATGCTATGGAAGAAACAAGTTTGTTGAACGCTAAACCAGTTGATACTCCTATGGATCCAAGTGTCAAACTACTACCCAATCAGGGGGAGCCTCTATCAGACTCGGGAAGGTATAGGAGATTGGTTGGAAAGTTGAATTATCTCACAGTCACTCGTCCAGACATTTCTTTTGCAGTCAGTGTGGTAAGTCAGTTCTTAAATTCCCCTTGTCAGGAACACATGGATGCTGTTATCCGGATTCTAAGATACATCAAATGTGCTCCAGAAAAAGGTTTAGTGTATGAAGATAAAGGACATACTCAGATAGTTGGATACTCTGATGCTGATTGGGCAGGGTCACTAATTGATAGACGATCCACCTCTGGGTACTGTGTACTTGTTGGAGGAAATCTTATATCCTGGAAAAGTAGGAAACAAAATGTAGTTGCAAGATCAAGCGCCGAGGCAGAGTATAGGGTCATGGCAATGGCAACATGTGAACTCATTTGGTTAAAACAGTTGCTCAAAGAACTTAAAATTGAAGAAGCAAGACCAATGACACTTGTATGTGATAATCAAGCTGCATTGCACATTGCTTCAAATTCAGTCTTCCATGAGAAGACCAAACATATTGAGATAGACTGTCACTTTGTCAGAGAGAAGATCGAATCTGGCGACATCGTCACAAGCTTTGTCAACTCTAATGATCAATTGACAGATGTGTTTACAAAATCTCTGCGAAGCCCCCAGAACTAATTATATATGTGGCAAGCTTTGTGCATTTGACTTATATGCTCCAGCTTGAGGGGGAGTGTTGATATTTGTATGTAGAATAGTCCCACATCGATTATATAGTGTAATTAGTTGTAATCTCTATATATAATAAAGTCTCCGTAGTGCTTTCAAAACACACGGTTTAACCTAAATGTCTCTTAGTCTCTCCTAATTCAATAGATGCAAATAATTTATTTTTACTATTGTGAGTAGTAAGTCGTAATCAGGTCTTTAGTCCATTAGTCGGACTTATTAGATTAGAATAGTCTATATAAAGAGATTAGTGCTTGTACATTATTCATACTTGAATATATTATTCAATTTTCACATTAAGAATTCCTCATTCCCTTCCTTCCTTTACAAGTGAGTTATAACATATAAAGCTGTTCCTTTCCACCAAAATTGTAAATGCGGCAAGAAGTTATGCAAATAATGACATTCTGAAACAAATTTGGATTTGAAGATAAATATCTCAGTGCCATTATTTAGCATGAATAAGATTAATTTGGATTTGAAGATAAATATCTCAGTGCCATTATTTAGCATGAATAAGATTCTCAAGTTTCCTAACAACCTGCACGGGGAGTTCAAGCTTTGATCTCAATGTAGAACGATCCTTTCCTTCATCACCCTCCTCCAAAAGCTATAAAAACAAAAAACAATAATAACATTAACAAGTTAAAAACAAATGTGGCAACACAAACAAGTAAACAAGCAAACCATTTAGTGTAAACCATTATATAGTAGATATTGCAAGGCTGATTGGGGGAATTTATCAGCCATAAGAAGAGGACCTTACGAAGTAACCTGACTCTCCATAAAAAAAATGGGGGAATCAGGTTCAAACCACTCCACCCTAAAAGACCAAAACAAAGAGGAACTTCAGAAGTATTCCTCAGTGAACTATACATTGATTGAACATAGAAAATGTTTGAGAAACAACTTCAAACCAAGAAAGATATAAGAAATTTTTAAGTAGATCAAACACGGAGCAGACTTAAATTGAAAGAAAACAGCAAAAATCCATTATCCACTTATGATCAGAAAATAGATGTCCTCGATGATGACAAGACTGAAAACTAAAAGAAGGAGCAAAGCAGTTAGAGTAGCTATAGAAACTAGCTAGGTGGTTAAGACTTAAGAATAGTAAAAAAAACATTAGGCAGATAGCTGTAGTTTGTAAGAGCAGAAGCTAAGCTTAAGTTGACGGGAGTAGAAGTGGACTGATTCTGAAATGTTAGCATTGAGGAGCCAAGCAGTAGCTTAGCTGTATAAAATAATACAATATTTTTCTGAAGACAACGAAATTTTATACTGCATAGTACTATCTATTAAATCTTCCTTATGATGAAATTGGCATGCATTAAACTTTCTCAGAAAAATTGCTGGACAATCTTGGGCAAAACAGAAAATTAAAAATGGACATGATTTAGAGAAAATGAGTAGGATACTTTATAACAGTGAACTAAGCTAGTGCAGATTGATATGATTCCATCATTGTACAGCAAGCACTAGGACAAAATTGACTCATGTTAGTAAATCATCAATGATCAAGTGACCAAGAAGACGAAAAGTTTAAGGTGCTATAATCAAGTAGAGCAATGGTTTATGTATGCTTAACCATTTGTTAAATATTCTCAGAATAATATTGAAGACAAAATAATACAATATTTTTCTGAAGACAAAATGAAATTTTATACTGCATAGTACTATCTACTAAATTTTCCTTAAGATGAAATTGACATGCATTAAACTATCTCAGAAAAATTGCTGCACAAAATCTTGGGCAAAACAGAAAATTAAAAAAGGACATGATTTAGAGAATGAGTAGGATACTTTATAACAGTGAACTAAGTTAGTGCAGATTGATAATGATTCCAACATTGTACAGCACACACTAGGACAAAACTGACTCATGTTGGTAAATCATCAATGATCAAGTGACCAAGAAGACAAAAAATTTAAGGTACCATAATCAAGTAGAGCAATGGTTATGTATGCTTAACCATTTGTTAAATATTCTCAGAATAATATTGATATTAGTAAATGAATGAGTGATACCATTCCATAACCTCCCGGTCATAGGAAGAAATAAGGGAAAGGGGGTGGAATGAAATCTAACAGATCCTTTCATATTCCAGTTCATTCCAACATATTTGAGGACAATGACAACTAATGACATTTCACTTGATTCCCTCCAATTTCACTTCTTTCCACCAATTCAAAAATAGCCTAAGATATGATCCGGATATTATAACTTTATAAGATATTTCACGGTTTGAAAGGTTGCAAACAATTAGTTTTCGTATATTCGAACAATTACACTCCCCAAAAGAAAGGTTGCAAACAATTCATGTTAATGAAACTACATATACACAATTATCACGCGGCAATATGAAACTTTAAAGTAATCCCAAATAACCTGTGGTATTGTCCGTTTGAAAGTACTGAATTTTCCAACAAAAGCATCCAGAATGCGGCCCTACAAAGCAATGTCATTAGTATCAATCCCAGAAAAAAGATTTAGTACAAAACCAAATTGCCAAAACCTAACAGAAATTGTGCAACAAACCAATAAGATCCTTGCTTCATCTGTAGACTGTTGATCAACCCCTTTCTCAAAAATTGGTTCCACCTGGATCCAATGAAAAGAGCATAAAATAAGAAGGCCGCAGGAATTTAAACGGCTACCAAAACCTAAAACTTTCTCTTCAGAGATATGGGGCAGAAAATAGAAAATCAAAGTTCTGTTGTTGACTGAGAAGAGATTAAGAGACAACAAAAGAAATTCCAAAAAGTGAAAATAACAGCCAAAAACAACAAAAAGGGTCATTCCATATACCTGTGAAATACAGTATGTCAACCCCCTAATACAAGCTAAAAACCATGGAGGAGACAAATAAACAGATAAATTTCACTTCATAAAGCTAGTCAGGCAAGAACATTATAAGCTAATAACAGCACAAAATGAATATCAACAACATTCGCAGTATTTTTTAATAAATCCATTAGAACTAAAAATTAATGAAATGGAGATAGAAATTGGAAAATGAAAACAGAGAATAACATTAACTATATTCTTAAGAAGAGTTAGGTACCAGATTCAACATCAAGCGAGCGCAAGTGGTGTGGATACTCAATGATAATGAAGCATCGTGCATATTACTTGAAAATAAGTAAATTATCCGTGACAACTGCAGCCATATTGAATTCAAATTAGCAAGATTGTGTGCAATGGAAACACTGCAGATGAAAGATATTTGCAGCAATATTAATGGGACAAAAATCATATTCAAAACAAATATCCATGGAATGTAGTTACAAATATCAGTGATCATCTTTGCCCCATCGAGTGTTTAAAACGTTACACATGAATTTATGAATAATTCTAAAAGAAAAGCTATCAATTCAAGATGCCATTTAATATTTCAGAACTCCAGTAACCACCCTCTTGTGCTGCAATTATTTTTGTTACATGAAAAATTAAAGGCACAAAACACACAAAGCATTTTTAAATTCACAACATATTTTTATGCTTTGATGTTTGTTTCCTGTTTCACCCCATACTGTGAACTATATTTGTGTTCTTATGAAATATACATGCTGGCTTGATATTTTTCTTATTGGTGTGCATATTCATTTCTTATGAACCATTTATGTAAAAGTAGAAAATTTATTATGTGAGAAAAAAATGGAGTATTGAAGCAACATATATTATAATCATAAATGAAACCATAAAATACAAAAATCAGAATAATAGTATGCAATAGCAAATCCACTAAGCATAGCTCACAGATCTTCCATTATATTCAACCAAGTGTTACGAATGCTGGATAGAACAGAAGATAGCATAACGGCCAAGCCCCAAAACACTATAGGAGGAAAGCCAACAGCTGGGCACTATTCTAAAAAATTATACAATTTATGTAACTGGTACATATACACAAATGCACAAAAGCTATCTGTGACCAACCCAAGATTGTCAAAATCAGGATCTTGCATAAGAGCGGGAGGGGATAGTAAGATCCTAAAACATAAAATTGTAACTAAGATCGGAAGATTCTACTCAATTATATTTGTACGAACGAGTGGGGGTAGCAAGATCGTAAAACATAAGATCGTAAAAAAAATCATAAGATACTACTAAAGCGGAAAATAATACTGCATATTTGAAGTATTTCTACATGATATTTTCGTAGGGAAGTGTATCCGTAGGAAAACGGAAGCCGCCAGACCGAAATTGTTGCGCCTTTTTATCTTGTCATCCTTCCCGGACTGTAATGGTGGTGGCCGGAAGACGGCTAATCGTGGCCGGAACTGGCCAATCGCATATAATCAATGGTTTTACCATTTCTTTTCACCATTTGACTACAACACACGATTCTACTTAAGATCTAGATCGTTCGAGGTGAGTGAGATCGTAAAATCATAAGATTTTAAGATTCAAAATTTCAAATCGTGATTTTGATAACCATGAACCGGTAAGAGTGAAAAAAGAAAGCAAGAGAGGGAGGAGTAAAGTTGTAACCCTATTTTGGTGTTTTTAATTGCAAAAATCCTAAAATACCCTAACAAAAACCCTAACAATTAAATCTCGATGGTTTTTTTGGAGTTTTCAGACCCGCTATTACGGCCACACTCCAAACTGCTCTCTACTGTGTGACCTATTGCGTCCATGGGCTGCTCTATTACTAAGCTATAGCGCAATATTGATTTCACTAATTCAATCAAGAAACCACCCAGGAATAGCCCCTAGCTGTTTATCACAGAGAAGCTCACCAGACCACTTAATCCCATTCATATAAAATAAATAAAACATTATCGTTCCTTCCTTAACTCCTTACGAGATATCTAAATAGGCATATGATATATTGCTCCAAACTCATCAGAGCCTAGATAATATGTTTAGTTGAATTACGGTATGCTTTCGATGGTAATTCTAGTTTACTCTGACAAAATCTTGTTTTAATAGTTTAAGATCACACCAACATTTTAGTCATTAAATGATTTTTGAAATACCAATTTGGTCCTTAATGTGTACTTTTTTTACTTTAAAATTGTCGAAAAGTCATTGTAACAAAACTAATGTTATTCTGATATGACTAAATATCGTCTTTGTAGGTCCAATTAGATATCATCAATCTTTCAATGACTGTTTCAAAAAAAATTTATGAACCAAATAGTGAGTTTACTCTTATTTTAATTATATAAGGTTTGTAATAAAAAATAGGATTCTTATTCTCTATAAAATATAAATTACTAAATAGCAGAGTGAATACTAAAATAAAATCCAACACCTGTCACCTAGTACTTCTGCAAGAAATCACTAAAAGCGGCGGATAAATCTAAAATGAAATGAGATGAAGAGAAGACATACCTGTGATAAGGACAGATCCTGCCGAACATGATGTACAATTTCTGCCAGAAGACTATAGGCCAAGGGTCTCAACGTCTCAAAGCATGCCCGCCCAGTCCCAACAAGATTCCTGAAAATTTGAAAATCTATTAACATTAGAGAACGCCCAATACAGCTGTATGCTGTCAAGCTTAATTTCCTCTTTTTGTTCCACAATTTCCCTGTATCCTTTCCAATGTTAACGATAGATGATGGCAGGTTTATTTCCCTGTATCCTTTCCAATGTTAATGATAGATGATGGCAGGTTACGGTGGAAAGTCAAATATTATTAACAGAGGATCCCTATTTGAAATTTTCACATCAAATTTCTGCATCGATATCTCTTAATAAATCATATTGTTACCTTTGTTCCAGTAAAGTGTCAATCAGAGGAAATAAGCCTCTCCTGAAATCAGTTCCAAGGACATGTTTCAGGGATATTAATAACTCCTGCATCCAACACTTTTGGCTTTAAATCGGAGAACGGGAAACTCAATAACAAAATCGCAAAATAAACAACTGTATCACCTTTCTAATGGTTACAGAGTCAGTACATGTTACAAGCAAATTCACAATGCTTTTACATATACTTTCTTCATGTGGCCTTATATAATCAGCATAGCTTTTCAACAGATACGTTAAAAAAGAAACTGTCTGCAATAACAAAAAATAAAACATGTGATAGATAATATTAGGTAAAGGATTAAGGTAATAAATTATTTAACGATCAACAGATAAAATTTGTGCTTTTTCAATTATTCGCAGCAAAATAGCCATGATAAAGTAGGATATAACTCCACTTCCATGTGGCCGCTAGAAGGAGGCTTAAAGTTTCTAATATTAGAAACATTACTGGGTAAACCGAAGGAGAGAAGCAGAAACATATAAAAGACTGAGAAGTGTTTGCATATGTTTAGCAATCAAAATATATTCACAGAGTCTTTTTGGATGCAAAAGGCTATCTTAATATATTGAAATGAATAGAGAGTAATAGCACTTGTTCCTCACGCTCTTATAATTTTTGGGTTTGTTTACAATTTCTCTCTTTCTAAAATTACATTTAAAATAGCAATATCCAATTGTTGCAAGAACAGTGGGATATATATGATAAAGCAATTCATTCAGCATATCCTGGCATCCAAAATCAATGGTTTATTGAGTGACATGCTTCTGCAAAGTACATTCCTACGGAGAAAAAAAAGGGACTTTTTCTTGGTTTTGTCGTATAGATTTTTCATTTTTACATTTCCACCATAAAAACCTACCTTGACCTGTGCGCCCTTGAGTTCAGTGAAATGAGCTCTCAGATGAGGAGGAACCCTTTCAGGGCCAGGAACCGATATAGCAGTAACCATCAAAGGCAATAATTGAGGAATATTTGCTTGGACGAAATGACTATACAATTGAAACAGAAACATCACCACCAGTGGACTCTCCGTAACTATCTTGAATGACCGGGTACTTGGATTGAGCTGCGAGCCAGTGGCAGTAGAAGGATTTATACCTTGATCCGAAAGCGAGTTGTCCATCGGCTTAACATCCTCCCCTGTCATCGCCATATTCTCAAAGAAATGACTAACAGTCAATTTAAAATTTTGGTAAATCTTGCATACAAAGTCCAGAAAAGGCTGGACTTCATTTTCTAAAGTCGGCCTAAAGTTCCTCAAGAGATCAAAGATTATACGAATACAAATCAACCCATTTTCTTCATTATCTGTCGTAAGCACCTGCATAGCAACCTTCAAGAGGTCTTGTACAAAAGGCCGAAGTACTTCACTGTGCGGAAGCCTATTCAATATCTCAACCACAATATTCCTAAGCTTATGTTCAGGATTGTCCACAAACTGCGGCTTTGTAATTTGCAGTAGGATCCCCGAGAAGGCACGAAAATAACACTTCAAAAAATTCAAATACTCGGCAGTATGAGCGATTTCAAGACTATCCCTAACCTCCATCACCATTTGCAACCTCGCCTGAATAGCTGTTTCCACCCCCAAAACCAAAAAAAAACATTAACCAAATGCAACACGGAGAAAAAAGATTCAAACGAAAACCAATTGAACAACGCAAACACAAACAGTGTTGAATCTATTTTCCTACAGCAAGTTATTGGAAAACAAGAACAATTAAAAGCAATCAAACAGTAAAGAGAAAGAGAGAGAAAGAGAGAACATACTTAGGTCAAGCTCAACGAGATGGCGAGAATGTTGCTCGAAATTCTGAACGGGACTCATGTTGGCGACGAAAAGCTTAAACCCTAGCTATATATTCAGAGACGAATACGAATAATTTTCCCTTTGATGTAGTTATATGAATGTGATCATATTTCTAGGGTTCAACAAAACAACACTGATCTAGCGGTTATGTAACCGAACCAGATCGCTCCTTCTACTGAGCTCTGAGCGAGTTGAGACTGCGAGCGATTGATGAGGTTGAAGAAGGAGAAGGAGGAGGAAGAGGATTGAGGCGAAACTGGTAGCTACGGGGTTAGAGTAAGGTTTGTGAATTTGTTAGGGTGAACGGTATTTTCTCTGTTAAGCTGCTTACTTCAACTCGGCGCCACCGAGATATAGTCCTCCGCGGGGCTAGTTTCTTAGTTTTGTGCAAGAAAAATTACAAATCCATCCAAACTATTAATAGCAAAATAGTAATTAGCAATATTTTTTAAGAAAGATGATAATTTTTTTTGGGAAAGATTATAAAATTTTGGTTTTGGAATTTCTTAGTCTAGGGTTAACTCTTCAATTTACTAGAAAGAAATTGAGTTTGAGAATCTCTATTTTAGAAAAAAGATAAATAAATTGAATTTTTTTTTGGAATAACTAGGTATTAAAATAAAATTCGCAAATAACCATGTTTTGGAGAAAATTATGTAAATAATCATATTTCAGAAAATCCCACAACGGAGGAGTCAACCCAGTTGGCGCATGCACTTAGCATTTTGCCCTAGGCGTCATCCCACTTGGCGCATGTTCTCTCATTTAGCCAAGTGAGATGGCGCATGCACTTTAAAAGTGAGAGGAGGCGTCATCTCACTTGGCTCCTATGACAAAATGCATTTTTATAAATAATTCGTCTGTTTCTCCGTCATTCCTCACACTTTCTCGCACTGTCCTCTTATTTTTTTCTCTGTTATTTGCGTCATGACATCGCCCATGATTTTTACCAGAGATGGTTACGTTATTTTCTCAGCCACAAAACCTCCGATGAAAATGAAATCCTGGCACATTCACTCAATGGAGCGTCTGAAGAGGGAGTTGATGCGATGGCTAGAGGGAGACATCGAGGATGAAGAATAAATTAGAAGGATCCAGAGAAGAAGAACAGCAACCTCATTTGCGACATGAAGACTTAATTTTTGGTTTGAGGAAGTCAAAACAGACAGCGACGTAATGTTGATGATGCATGGGTCAGATGAAATTATTTTAACAGTTGTAATTTCGTAGACGGTTTATCATGTTTTATTTCTTGTTCGCGCAAGGTTTATTGTAACAAATGTTGTTAATGAAAAACCCTAATGTTTACAACTTCAAAAAGTAGAGATGTTTTGTAATACAATTTTTATGTGGTTAAGCCAGTAGCCCGAGTCGGACAATTTTTGCGATTGTGTCCGACCTGACGACATAAACCACATTTTCTTTCTAGCTTGTCAAGGGAGTCCATTTCAGTTGTGATGTGCTTACTTTTAGGACGACCCTTTTTATTCCTTCGCATTTGGTCATTGTGTCATACTATTTCGCTACCGTATGCAGGCTAATAATCAGATTTTGCTACCAAAGGGAAGTTGTTGTTGTATACGTTAAGCAATGTTTCAGATTTGTAAATGGGAGACAGAAGTTGTAGCGCGTCTTGATGAGTATAGGCACACGCAGTAATGACATGAGAACAAGGCATACGAAAGGCTTGGAACTTACTACAATCGCACCAACGAGAAGGTAGTATAACCTTATACTCTTGTCTTGGCAGACCCTCGTTGTGGTTGATTGTCTCTTTGACAATGAAGTTATGGTTGTGTCGGTCGAACCGTATAACCAGATGGGTCTTGGCTTTGGCATTTTTTGCCTTAATATACTTCATGCAGCTTTCACTCCATAGTTGTCCAGATTGCAACACAACATTCCACATTTCACCTCTTTTGGAAAACAACGAAGCCATCCTAAAATATGTTGATTTAACCAAAGCAGTTACTGGGAGGTTTCGTATGCCTTTGAATACCCCGTTCATGGATTCAATTAGATTTGTTGTCATGTGGCCCCATCTTTGTCCATTGTCGTATGACCTAGTCCATTTTTCTACCGAAATGTTATCGATCCACCTACCGACCTCCAGATTTGACAAACAGATTTCGTTGCGATAATATTTGAACGTAGGTGTTATACCCCAAAATTTGCCCTCCCATATTCCTCAAGAAATTGCCAAGCCAAGCTACAAAATTCCCCAAGGGTTATGCAGTGCAACAGTCTCCCATACAGTCAAAATTAGGGTTTTGAGTCTGATCAAGAAAAGGAAGTTTTCAAAGGCTCAATCAAGTCTCACATGCTTACAAACATGGTCAAGCATCCCCATATCAAGTTTCAAGGCATTCAGCTCAAGATTGCACAGTCAAAACCCTAAATTGCACTACAGTCAACTGTAGGGGCAAAATGGTCATTTGACAGTCAAAAGTTCAAATTTTTGGTCAACATATCATTTTGAAGCCACAAACATCATTTGATCAATGCTTGATCATGATTCTCAAAGTTTGGCTCAGAAATCATCAAAGATGCAAAAGTTGCTATATTGGACAGCTGAAAAAGTCAACTGAAATTGACCAGGGCATAACTTTCACATGGATTATCAGAAAAATCCCATCCAAAGCTCATTTTGAAGAGAAAGACATTTCCTACAACTCATCTTCATACTTCAAGTCCAAGAAATGCTCTCACAAAAAGTTATCAATTTCAACATTATAGGTCATTTTCAAAAGTCAACAAAAAGGGACTTTAAGTCAAAGGCCATAACTTGAGATTGGAAAATCAAAATGACATGGGACCAAAGGCATTGGTTAAAGGACTCAAAGACCTTTCCAAAATGTCCAAGAACATGAGAAAAGCTTAAAAATTGAGCAAGTTATGCCTTGTAGAAGTTGGGAAATTTTTGTGAAATGGCAAAAGTCAACTATCCTTGAAACTCCAATTTTTGACAAAAGGGCCCACTTTCTTCCACTTGATTCATCCTTGTCATGCCACACACGTGTCCCATGATTAATTTCAAGACCAAATATTGATTTTTCTATTTTATTTAATTTTTGATAATTTAATTCATTTTAAATCTTTAAAAATTCAAATAAAATTCAAAAGTCAATGAAATAGTGTCATTTGAATTTGGACAACTTCCATATATCATGGGCCAACTCAAAAACTCAGGCTAGGGTTAAATTGCACACTAAGTCTTGGTCTTGGCTTAAAAGAAGGAAAATTGGTTAATGGTGAAAACCCTAGGACTAGTTCTTTCATGAGCATGAATTAAGGCCAACTAACAAGCTAATTCTCTTCCATCATAAGCACTGAGTCAAACCCTAAGCCTTGGACACTCTAAGCTGCGCCTCAAGAGCCATTGGAACATTGAAAATTTTCCATAAAAACTCAAATCTGAAATCAACCTTGGAGGTGGATTCAAAGCCTAATTCCTTTTCCAAAAGCTTCCTTGGCAATTCCTGAACATATTCCAATCCCAAATAGCCATCAACACGCAAAGAATTGGTAATAAGGACCTCTCCTGTACAGAGAAAAAGTGACAATCGTGTTTGTGGTTTGAGGCATTCTCATGGCATTCTAATCATAGATTCTTGTTCCTTATGATGTTCTGACACTGACCAATGCGTTTGATTGTACTTTTATGCCATGTACACGTTTTTACCATGTTTACTTCCTAGGGTTTTCAGAGCTCTAATTTGGGGCTTTTGCAATAAGGAAAAATTAAGCCTCAACACTAATGCCATTAGACTCAGCGCTTGAAGACGAAGGTGATGGAACCCTCGCGCTCAATTTATGAGCGTTGAGGGTCTAATCGCTATTTTCTTAAAACGTCCTTTAAGCCACGCCCAGAAAACCGTTGCCATACGTTCATGTTTCAGAAAAAGTGAAGAAGATGAACTCGTGGCTGGCGTTGATTGGAGGATTCGAATTTCGCGCGTTTTAGCCCACTAACGCGTTATTTTCTTTTATTATATTTATTGCTTATTCATTTAACAAAAGGGTTTCATAGCTCAGCTGGCAGGCGTTGATAAGCGTTCACATCCAAGACCTGGGTTCGAATCCCAGGTCTGTATAATTTCTCATGCTATTTTTCACTAACCAATTCCATGCAGCGCTTATGTGGACAACCACCATACACCTTCAGAAATCAGCATGCCACGTCCATCCCAGCATCAGATCAAGGGTCATAGATTGAAGAACATCCTACACTTCAGTCAATGCATCACACGCTGTACAAAAAGTCAAACGGATCCAAACTAAATGGGCCAGCATTCTAAGGCCTATACCTCCATTTTGGGGCCTGAACCCCCCCTTGGTTTGCTTTCTCTATATTTTTCTTGTTTTATTTTTAATTCTTATTTTATTTTCTTTATTTGTTTAAACTAATTATTATTTCTTTACAAATTATAAAATACAAAAAAAATCAGAAAAGATGACAAATATAATAAATATTTAGTTTAATTATTTTCATAAATAAATTAACATGTAAATTAATTTAGTATTAATTTAGATTGCAACTTTAATTCTTTTCATAAAAATGTAAAAAATATAGAATTTAGGTTTAATAACTTTTTATTCCTTTTAATTTTTCTTTTTTTTTTTTGCCATAATATTAGTGATTCCAAAAATATAGCATTAGGTTTAATGACTTTTTATTCCTTTTAATTTTCCTTTTTTTTTTGCCATAATATTAGTGAAATATAGCATTAGGTTTAATGACTTTTTATTCCTTTTAATTTTCCTTTTTTTTTGCCATAATATTAGTGATTTATTTATTTTCATAATTAAACTTGTAAACTAGTTAGGGTTGCATTTAGGTTAACTTTTAATACTTTCATAATAAACTTAAAAATAATTAGAACTAGGTTTAACATTTCATTTTGGTTTTTAATTAATTCTTTTTTACTAAATCTCAAAAAACACAAAAATACTAAAAAAACATTTTCTTTTAACTCTTAATTTTAATTCCTTATTAATAATATTTCGCAAAAGGGTCC